AACACTATGGTTAAATACTTGTTGAAATTCTTTGAGCAAAAATTTACAAGTTAAACCAAGGTTACGTTGAAAGAAGTATCTACATACTTGCCGAGATTACCATATTGCCAAGACTTAGAAGAAATTTGAAGACAGAAGTCTAGCTAAAAGTGAAGTATCAAGTTGTAAATAACACTTGTGGAAATATTATGATAAATATTTTCAAGTATTAGGTCAAGACCGAGATAAACTGATTAATGGGTACAACCGAGGTGTTACACCCCGAGGAGATTGCACAGTTAAAGGTGTATGTTGAAGGCGGGCATATGACTGAGGTCTGCAGAGCACTAAAAGCACACTTAGAAGATCTGATGAGGCAAGGCCATCTGAAGGGACCTCGTCAATGAGAACAGAGCAAGGGAAGAACAGGCAAAACTGCCTCAGGCGCCAGCAGCTCCGCCTCCCCCAGCACAACAACCTCAGGCAGGAGGACCTCGGGCAATTAATGTAATTCACTCGAGGGTCAACAAGAACAGGGGGGAGACTCAGAAGGTGAAGCACCTGCAACATGTCTACCAAGTCAGGGACAAGAGACATCGGGCAGATAAGTGCTTAGGACCAGTAGTGTCTTTTACCAAAGCCGACCTCGAGATGGTCCAGCACCCGCATAATGATGCTTTGGTAGTATCCCTCCAGGTTGGGGAGTGCCAAGTGAAACACGTCCTGATTGACCAAGGAAGCTCTTGTGACAAGGAGCTCGGCCTTCATCCAGACGATATGGAGTAACCCAATGGCCCAATGGTTGGGCTCAATGGAACGCCGACATGGCCACTGAGAACAGTAAGCTTGGAGGTGCAGGCTGGCACCAGAAAGATCACAACAGAATTCACCATCATCGATACTCTATCTCCTTACAAATCTTGGGAAGATCATGGTTGCATGCAATGGGGGCAGTTCCCTCAACGTTGCATCAACTACTGCGGTTCCCAACAGAACATGGGAATGAAGAAGTCAGAGGGGATCAACTGCAGGCGGAGAATTGCTCCATGGCAGCAATGAAATCCACCTGCAGTATTCGAGAACTAGAGAAGGTAGAGATTGAAAACGAGGACATAGAGGTCCTAGATGATGTCGGCAAGGAGCCAGCCGAGAAGAGTGAAGAGGCACTGGGGAAAATACTCGTCTAGGAAGGGGATGAAGAACGCTTCTTTCTTCTCGGCTCAGGCTTAGCCGAAGAAGAAGAAAGGGAATTGGAAGCTTTTTTGAGAGCAAACGTTGAGGTATTTGCTTGGACACCTTACGAAATGCCTGACATTGACCCCGAGGTCACTTGCCACCAACTGAACGTCGACAGGTCGGCCAAACCTGTAATCCAACGAGCAAGAGGACCGACGTTGATATACGTCGAAGCAGTAAAGGAAGAAGTAGACAGATTTCTAGAGCCCAAGGCCATTCGAGAAGTCAATTACCCGGCATGACTATCAAATACAGTGGAAGAAGGAATGATAATTAAGGAACAAGGAATGTTAACACTTGTTGAAATTTTTGAGCAAATTACAAGATGAGTTAACCAAAGATTATGAAGTCTACCACTTGTTGAAATTTGTAGCAATTTACAAGTTTGGTATAGCCGAGATAACACTGAAAGACGTTTCCGAGATATGATCATCCGAGATGACCAACTAGCTTGTTAAGAGCTGAGAAGGTTGGCAAGTACAAAAATGAAGACCTTAAAGAACTAGGGACTGAAAGCAATAATGTCGGACTAATCTGCTTCGACGGACGACGATGGTTCAGCCTCGGCATCAATTTCAAGAAAGAAGCAAACTACTCGGCATCAGCGGCAGGTTGTGTCTCACCCCCAGAAAACAGTTAGAAAGAACTTCTCAGTAGCCTTCTCAGCCACGAGCTCAGCATCAATCTCCTGAAGAGTTTGATCAAAGCTTTTCTCGGCGATTGACACCTCGGCGTTTTGAAAGCAAGGATTGAAAGCAAAACTCTGGAAAAAACACAGAAAACAGAAACAAGAATGTAATTCGTAAATCAAAAATGGTGATGAAGCTATCAAGAAATCAAGACAAAAAGATTGTACCGATGTGTCAAGCCAAGAACAGTGGCAGAAATCAACAGATATGTGAACAGTGTATATTCAAGAAGATGATTTGGAAACAACGGGTAAAACAACAATGGTGGTTAACAATGAAGCAGAGCTTCTTGAAAAGCAACAAGAAATAAAACCAGGAGGAAAAGTGGCTTACCAGAAAGAGGGAAGTCGGAATGAGAATTGCCGAAGTCTGACGACAGATGCGAAAATGACAGAATAACGTAAGCTTCACCGGAGGAGAGGAACGAAAACAATTGCAGAGCTTGAAAGCTTGGAATAATGACAGATTTAAGCAAAAGAGCTAGAAAGGAAAAAAAGACCAGAGGATTAAATGAAAAAAGAGAAAAATAGTCAAGAAGACGACAAAGTTCAAGAATAAAGCCAAGTGCACAGGCACTAAGTAAGTATGTGAAGAACAAGAAAGTAATGACCCAGCATGATGCTAGCAACAGAAAGAAGATATGACAAGGACAGTGCCAGGCATTCAAACAATTCAAAACTTGAAAACAGACGAAAATAGAAGGCAACAGATGGCAAGTAAACAGATTCAGAAGAGTTATGAAAGATTGAACTTAATAGCAAGTAAATAGTTTATGAACCTACCAAGAGAAATGAATGCCGATATGAAGATCGCCGGAGTCAAATAGATGACTGGAAGTCAAGAACCCACCAGAGAATGTGAGTGGAGCAGTTGTAAAGCTCTTAGAGTTTACGAAGTAATGGAACAAGAACCTCGGCTAAGAGGTGTGATCTCGAGCAGCTTGGAAAGCATGAAGCTTGATACTTGACAGAAGTGGACAGTAAAGTCCAGGGAACTATGAGGTCGGCAAGTTTTGATTTCGGACAGAGGGGCGCAAATGAACAAACAATGTAGGTTCCATCACCTCAGAATGCCGAGGTAATAGAACCTAGGGGGCAATTGTGGGGATATATTTTCTGAATACCAACATGTGGCAAGGTGACGCCGACGTGTCAGCCGAGGTGCCACGTGTCCTGGTCGTAACGCCGAGGTGATCTCGGCAAGGCCGATGTTATCTCCGAGGATATCGGAATCTGAGATAAGTGGATAAGGGACAAGAGTCCTAGAATGAAAAGGGAACTCAACCTGGATGAGGGACAAGAGTCCTAGAATGGGAGGAGACTTCAGTTTGGGTAAAGATAAGACTCTTGGAGACTTTATCCTAATCCCACTGGGAGTCCCAGATTAGCAGTAATCTTGAGTCCATTGGAGTTAGGCTTCCATTGGGACTAGGATTGAGTAAACTATAAAAGAGAGGCACCCTCGTGGGTCTAAGGTATGCTTTTGATACTCAAGCCTGTGAGTTGAATAGTTGATTGATTATTTTTGAGAGATATTGAGTACTGACTTGATCGTCGGAGTACCCCCGGGTGGCGAACCACCACCGGAGTCTTCTCTTACTGTTGCAGGATTAGTCAGGTGCCATCTATTCTGCCGGTGTTCTACAGCTAAGTACTAAGGTGGGCAGTGTGGTCAGAAAATCACTCACACAGTTTTATATGATTTTTGTTGTTTAATTTTGTGTTTAATTTGAGTTAATGGCCCTGTTTGCTAGAGCTATGGGAAAGTGCTTATAGCTTATGCCTTAACAGCTTATAGCTTATAACTATGAACATAAGCTGATTTCTGACTTATAAATTAAGCATCTCCTGCCCCACTCAAAGAATAAGCTGATTTCTGACTTACAAAAAGCTATAAACTGCATTGTTGAGCTAAACCAAACACATCAAAATAGCTTAAATTAAGCTGAAAGCTGGAATAAGCAGCTTTTAAGCTACACCAAACAGGCACAATGTTGTGTTGATTTCCCACATTTGGTGTAGGGTTTGTGTTGATTTTTACACAGAAATCCCAAATTCAAGCTGGATTAAGCAAGAATTTGGGACATGATTGGGGATTGGGAAATCCCAAATTCGGAACTATATTCATTGTGTTGGTTTGGGAAATCTCATGTGTTTCCTCTTCCATGTAACACACCCATCTATTTTAAACTTATCTATACACGTGTATAAAAGTCTATTGTCATAGAAAGTTGATTGGTCACTCAAAATTATGGCTCCCTTAATATACTCTGGACATTTGAATCCAAGTTTATTACATTAAATTTTTAATTTTGTTTTGGTATGTATTGCTTGGTTCATTTTAATTTCATTAGATGAACAAAATGTGCACTTCAAGACCATCAGTTGAAGGTTTAGGTCTATCATTCTTGGAGCTCAAAATGCTATTTGGTGAGTTTTGAAAAGTGAAAAGTGGATTATTATCATTTTTGTATAGTTGGTTCTCAAGGAAATTTGATCCATCCTTGAACTGATTTTTAGATTTTGTTGAAGAGTTTAAGTAATTTGAATGTATAGATGAGATAGGTCTTATGGACTTTTGTATATGGGTTGCAGCCCCTTGGTGCTCCTTATTTTATGATACACTACATAAAGACATTGGTAAAATTAGTATTTTGGCAGAGCTAATGCATAACTCTGAAAATGTGGCCATTGATTTATAGGGATAAGGTTTATCTGTGTGGAGAACTTTCCTTAATATCAATTGTAGCCTGAAGCCATTGGTTCCAAGCTTTCCTTGTTTTGCCACAATATTAGTCTCTCTCATGAAGAAGGTGCGTGGTAATGACCAAAGGTAACTTTAATTAACGATATGTTTGATTAGGAATATTTTGGTTTATCATCAGAGTTTTAGGGACTGCATATGCTCATCAGATGTGTATTGTATATTCCTATATATGCACCATTTAGAGCTTTGGTGCCCACCATATGATGGAGATGGCATCAATCCTAGCCAAAAGATTAACCTTTTTGCAAAGTTTGACTCTCTCTCTCTCTCTCTCTCTATGAATTTGCAGCCACATGTGGACCTTTGGTTTGAAAGTGCTAGGAGCAGATGCTATGTCCATTCCTGGCCTGTATGGTTTTGTTCAGGTATACTAAATTAATTAATATAGTTCCCTTCACTTCAATTTTTCTTTATCTTTAGATTTTTATTTGATTCTTCATCCAGAGGGTGGGGGCGCTTAGGCACATCTTCATTGCATAAATTTTGAAAACATGCAACAACCACAACAACAAATTTGGTAGAAGATGGTTTAGCTAATGTGAATTGAATGATCAGAGGCTATTTAAGCCCTAGAAATGGATGCATCTTTCATGGGGTAAAATTACACAACTTATTATCAACAATGGTTGTCAAATTACAAGCCACAAGAGTAAGGCAAATATTAGATGGACTGTTTTGGGCTGAAACTTGTGATCTACTAATGTAAACATTGTAGAGTAATCATGTAATGGGGACTAAACTGGTATAGTTTTTAATTTTGAAAATGCTATTTTCTTTTATAAATACTCAAAATTACATAGGCTAATGAAGTTTTTGTGATTTTTAAGAGCGCCGAAGTAAATTTATATAGATTTTGGGATGGCCAAATACTAATTTCACTTGTGAATACTTAAAAATGCAAGGGGCTAATCAAGATTTTGTGAAATCTGAGTGGGTCGTGGCCCTTGCCCACCCCTCTCTGTGTCCTCCAACACAAGTTGAAGCAGAAAACAAACAGAATCACTTGATATTTGATAATAAATCTGAAAAAAAAAATAGTGCAAAATATACCTGCTCCCAGTCATTTACATGGATCTCCAAAGCTTGAGATTTGGGGTCTTTAATGACCAAATTAAATTCTTCATTCCATTCCGGGTTCAAAATATACCTGCTCACAGTTGTTCATTGGAGATTCGGTCACCAATGGGTCCTGCCTCTGTAGAATTTATTGATCCAAGGGAACCTGTGGTGGTTAGTATATTACTCTTCTCTATAATTTTCTTTTTACCACTGTTACTCATTTCATTGTAATGGATAGCTGAATTAATTCCCTATCCTACCACTGTAAATAGAGTTTAGGAAGTTCCCCCCATTATGCTCGTTGCAACTTGCAAATGATTAGGACATAATTTTTTTTTTTTGCTATTTAATATTATTGGGGACAAATCATGATACAAATTTATGAATGTGGTCTCTGTTTGAAATTATTTAATCCTGGGCCCTTGGTAGAGTAGAGCTTTTATGTAGCCATCGCCAGATGCACTATTTTTTTTTAGCTTTGTAGATTGTTGAGTGCTGGTTTTGCTCTGTCAGAATCTGCACCATTAATTTTACCGGCAACAAAAACATACCATTTGGGTAAGAATGGTTTTTGCACTGTCTTGTGGAAACGGTGATGTTATTTTGATAGGTCAACTTATCTATATGTATCCTTTTAGTTTTGAATAGGAATCATCTACAAATTTTATCAAAAAGCCTCTATTCTTTAGAATTTAGGTACTTCAGAGCATGACAATTTATGATTTACTAAAATGTTTCATTTGGTACTAGTCAAACTTAGAAGTTAGGAGGGTTATGATCATGGGTACGGTATGATATTTCTATTTTGTCTAAATCTAGTTTTATCTCTTATTCAACTTGTGCTCATACTGTTACTTGCTACCCTTGTTAATTCATAACAATTCAATTTCAGTTAGTGTCCCACAATATCTTAGGTCTTATTTCTTATTATAAGGTGTCACTCTACATGGATTGATTTCAGGAAATCCTGGCTTTTGTAACTATATCTGCATGTGCTTTGTCTATTGTCATTGTTAATAGAATGATCTTAGGACTGAAGTTCTTGGAATATGTGCAGACTGCAGAGGAGGCTATGACATCGATTGAATCAACATTTTTCTTTCGATTGACAACCTCATCATGCCCCTATCAGGCCATTGTTCAAATTGTTTGTTAGGCTCTAATTTATTTAGCCACGAATGATATTATGTTTCTTTTTTTATTGTTATTTTTATTTCAATTGATAGATTTAGTTTTCTTTTTCTTTCTATTTTCCCAATTATACCTTTTAGTTGCTGCCTTAAAAGGATAATAAATTGGATTTGTGTAGTCGAAAAAGGGCGTTTTGGGGGCGAAAATTCAAAACTGCCCCCGAACCATCGTGTGACTCTCAAAGACAGCTTCCCCATGACAAATAGGATTTGTGACAACTGATGAAATGTAATTCGGACTAGTAGGTAGGGAGTTAGAGCCGAATACACACTAAACTTAGTCGAAAAAGGACGTTCCGAGGGTGAAAATTCGAAACAGCCCCCGAACCACCGTGTGGCTCTCACAGACAGCTTCCCCTTGACAAATAGGACCTGTGACAACTAACGGAATATAATTCGGACCTGTAGGTTGGAAGTTAGAGCCGAATATGCCTTAAACTTAGTCGAAAAAGGGCGTTTCGGAGGCAAAAAATCAAAACAGCCCCAGAACGACCGTGTGGCTTACGCGGATAGCTTTTCCATGACAAATAGGACTTGTGACAACTAACAGAACGTAATTCGGACTCGTAGGCAGAGAGTTAGAGTCGAATACGTCCAAAACTTAGTCGAAAAATGGCGTTTTGGGGGTGAAAATTCAAAACAGCCCCCGAACGACCGGGTGGCTCACATGGATAGCTTTTCCATGACAAATAGGACTTGTGAGATCTGACGGAATGTAATTCGGACCCGTAAGTTGGGAGTTAGAGCCGAATACCCCCTAAACTTAGTCGAAAAAGGGGCGTTTCGGGGGTGAAAAATCAAAACAGCCCCCGAACCGCCGTGTGGCTGACACGGGCAGCTTCCCCATACCAAATATGACTTGTAACAACTGACGGAATGTTATTCGGACTCGTAGGTTGGGATTTGGAGCCGAATATGCCTAAAACTTAGTCGGAAAAGGGCGTTTCAGGGACGAAAATTCAAAATAGCCCCCGAACCGTCGTGTGGCCGACACGAACAGCTTCCCCATACCAAATATGACTTGTGACAACAGACGGGATATTTTTCGGACCCGTAGGTTGGGATTTGGAACTGAATACGCCCAAAACTTAGTCGAAAAATAGTGTTTCGAGGGACGAAAATTCAAAACATCCCCCGAACCATCATGTGGCCAACACGAAAAGCTTCCCCATGCCAAATATGACTTGTGACAACCGACGGAATGTTATTCGGACCCGTAGGTTGGGATTTAGAGCCGAATACACCATAAACTTAGTCGAAAAAGGACTTTCCGTGGGCAAAAATTCATAACAGTCCCCGAACCACCGTGTGGCTCACACAGACAGTTCTCCCATGACAAATAGGACTTGTAAGAACTGACGGAACGTAATTTGGATTTGTAGGTTGGGAGTTAGAGCCGAATACGCACTAAACTTAGTCGAAAAAAGGCGTTTCGGGGATGAAAATTCAAAACAGCCCCCAAACCGTCATGTGGCCAACACGAACACCTTCCCCATGCCAAATAGGACTTGTGACAAATGACAGAATGTTATTTGGACCCATAGGTTGGGATTTAGAGACGAATACGCCAAAATTTAGTCAAAAAAGTGCGTTTCGGGGGCAAAAATTGAAAACAGCCCCCGAACCGCCGTGTGGCCGACACGAACACCTTCTCCATGCCAAATAGGACTTGTGACAAATGACAGAATGTTATTCGAACCCATAGGTTGGGATTTAGAGACGAATACGCCAAAACTTAGTCGAAAAACGGCGTTTCGGGGGCGAAAATTGAAAATAGCCCCCGAACCACCGTGTGGCCGGCACAAACACCTTCCCCATGCCAAATAGGACTTGTGACAAATGATGGAATGCTATTCAGATCTGTAAGTTGGGATTTAGAGATGAATACGCCCAAAACTTAGTCGAAAAACGGCGTTTCAGGGGCAAAAATTCAAAACATCCCGTGATCCGCATTGTGGCCAACACGAACAGCTTCCCCATGCCAAATATGACTTGTGACAACTGATGGAATGTTATTCGGACCTGTAGGTTAAGATTTGGAGACGAATACGCCGAAAACTTAGTCGAAAAATGGCGTTTCGGGGGCGAAAATTCAAAACAGCCCCCGAACCGTCGTGTGGCCAACACGAACAGCTTTCCCATGCCAAATATGACTTGTGACAACTGACGGAATGTTATTCGGACCCGTAGGTTGGGATTTGGAGCCGAATATGTCCAAAACTTAGTCGAAAAATGGCGTTTCAAGGGCAAAAATTCAAAGCAGCCCCTGAACCATCGTATGGCCAACATGAACAGCTTCCCCATGCCAAATATGACTTCTGACAACTGACGAAATGTTAGTCGGACTCGTAGGTTGGGATTTAGAGTCGAGTACGCCATAAACTTAGTCGAAATAGGACTTTCCGTGGGCAAAAATTCATAACAGTCCCTGAACCACCGTGTGGCTCACACGGACAGTTCCCCCATGACAAATAGGACTTGTGAGAACTGACGGAACGTAATTCGGATCCGTAGGTTGGGAGTTAGAGCCGAATACGCCCTAAACTTAGTCGAAAAAGGGCATTTCGGAGGCGAAAATTCAAAACAACCCCCGAATTGGCATGTAGCCGACACGAGCACCTTCCCCATGCCAAATAGGACTTGTGACAAATGACAAAATGTTATTCGGACCCATAGGTTGGGATTTAGAGACGAATACGCCAAAACTTAGTCGAAAAAGGGCGTTTCGGGGGCAAAAATTGAAAACAGCCCCTAAACCGCCGTGTGGCCAACACGAACACCTTCCCCATGCCAAATAGGACTTGTGAAAAATGACAGAATGTTATTCGGACCCATAGGTTGGGATTTAGAGACAAATACGCCAAAACTTAGTCGAAAAAGGACGTTTCGGGGGCAAAAATTGAAAACAGCCCCTGAACCGCCGTGTGGCCAACACGAACACCTTCCCCATGCCAAATAGGACTTGTGAAAAATGACAGAATGTTATTCGGACCCATACGTTGGGATTTAGAGACGAATACGCCAAAACTTAGTCGAAAAAGGGCGTTTCGGGGGCGAAAATTGAAAACAGCCCCCAAACCGCCGTGTGGCCGCCACGAACACCTTCCCCATGCCAAATAGGACTTGTGACAAATGACGGAATGTTATTCGGACCCGTAGGTTGGGATTTAGAGACAAATACGCCCAAAACTTAGTCGAAAAACGGTGTTTCGGAGGTGAAAATTCAAAACAACCCTTGATCCGCATTGTGGCCGACACGAACAGCTTCCCCATGCCAAATATGACTTGTGACAACTGACGGAATGTTATTCGGACCCGTAGGTTAAGAAAATGCAACTTGTAATATTGCATGGTTACAAATGCCAATACAAAACAAGGAATGCTAGGATCATATAAATGTTAGTGATAAATGAGGGAAAATATGTCACTTCATCTTCTCATTATGTGAATATTGTGTTAATGCTTACAAATTTTCTCAGTGCATGTCGAATATCTAATTGTAGTGTCTGTCTGGATTAATTAGGGGTGAATTGAGATGATTCCCTGTTTACAAGTATCCCATACTTTGTGGGTATTTTAAAAACAGACAGTTTAAATAGAAAATATATCCAAAATTATGTGTTAATGATATTTATAAAAATTATGGGGACAACTGTGAAAAATGTGTTGAAATCGATAACAAGTGTTTCATGTTCTTGCTGTTTTTCCCCCCTCGTGTCCTGGTTGATTTTCTTCTTTCTTCTCATCCAAAACATGATGCGATGGTCTAAAACAACTGGTTAGCTAAATGTCATGATTATATAAATGAAAAAGTCCAGTCCAAGTATTGACAAAGAAAAAGCTCTTTATAATGTCTTCCTAGCATTAGTATTTTTGTTAAATGTTTTATCAAGCTCAAGTTCAATTTTTTTATCAAGCTCCCTTGATGGCACATGTAAGGTTACTTAATTATGTTAAATGTTTCATAACAATATCTTCCTAGCATGAGTATTTTTGTTTCTCGAAATGACTTATTTTCGTATTATAAGTATGGGACCTTGTTACTGGAAGACTTTTACAAACTCGAGCTTTTCCACTACCAATTACTGCAATAGCTGTTGATCCAACAGAGATGAAGTTATTTTCTGGTGGTATAGATTACTAGTGGATATTTCTTTTTTGTATACGGAGGACATCATTTTTGTATGATTATCTGTTTGTATGGAATTATTATTTTGGGTTGGATTACATTTGGTTTGTATAGAATTTGATGTTACAAGACCAAATTTTTGGATGGTTGAAAGTGAAATAGAAATAGACATATGTATTGTTTTGTTTATATACAGGGTGCAGGTTGTACGAAATAAATACAGGTTGTGCAGAAATTAATAATAATAAAAAAAAAAAATAACAGTAAATAAAGTTTTTGGTAACTAAATGTTTAGTAGCCAAAAAATCAAAATAAAACTTGTTGGCTACTAAAAATTTAGTAGCCAAAAACAAACCAAAGATTTTTTGGCCACTAAAAATTTAGTAGTAAAAAATATATGAGACTTTAGGCGACTAAATAGTTTAGTAGCTAAAAAAAAATATGAAAATTAATTGTTTTTGGTGACTAAACATTTAGTAGTCAATAATAAATGATACTTTGGGTGACTAAAAGATTTAGTTGCTGAAAATGAAAATTAATTTTATTTGAAAACTTTTGGCGACTAAATATTTAGTCGCCAATTTATTACTTTTGGCTACTAAAAAATATTTAGTCACCAATACCTCGTACTTTTCCCTACTAAAGCATTAGTAGCCATTTATACGACTTTTGGCGACTTAATTTTTTTTAGTCGCCAAAACCTTCCCCGACCGTTTTCCCGCGACAAATCTAGCGACCAAAATATTTAGTCGGGAAAAGGCTTCGGCGACTAAAAACCTTACTTTTGGTGACTAAAACTTTAATTGCTAAAAGTGCATTTTCTTGTAGTGTATGATTTGAGAAAAAAATAAAAATCAAACCGTGGATAACATATTGGCAAATTTAATATTCGTAACCAAATTGCTGTTTGGGAGGTTTGACGGTTTCAACCTATTAGTTAATTGAAGAATGATCTTAAACAGTTATCAAACATTTGTACAATATATAATATTAATTTACATAATATATATTTTTATATATACAATACCAACTGATTTTACATAATATTTTTTTGTATATATAACACTAATTTGCACCAAATTTCACATCTTAGATTTCCTCACAGTAATTTTTTCTTTAATATTTTATTGAAAGTAAAAAATATATATATATACTAACTATAGCAGGTGTGATCGATTTACTAAATGATATTTTGCAGAGCCCTTCTCTCAATGGCTAATTCAACTAACACAAGAAGGAAATTCAGCCTAAGGGAAAAAGTAAGCCATATTCTTGAGCATTCATGCTGTTATTTTAAGAGTTTGCACCAATAATCTACGAATAATCCTTCAGACCCTAGTGGGGTTGACCCCCACCACCCCCACTGTTTTTTGATTGGTGCAGAATTTTATTTATTATTTATTTTTTTTTTTTGAAGGCTTGCACTTACAGCCCCCCACGTGAAGGTGGGGGTGCTGGGGTTCACCCCACTGGGGGTCTCCAACGGTGCTGATAATCTACTAAGTATTATAATGCCCCCAATTGAATACCCTAGTCGGCAAGGACTGACTGTCTTTGTTACAAGTGAAAGAGAGTTAAGGGAGTGGGTTCCATTTATTGTCACTTCAACCAGTGTGACAGATTTTTTCCCCACACATACACCTTCAACATTTTCCTCCATATAATTTTCTTCTTCTTTTTATTTTTTGTGAACTTTTATTCAACCTGTTCATTTTGAATTCATCTAAATCTTGTAACTTATATTTCATTAGATAAAGATTGCCTCCAATTTGAAAAACAATTTTAAGTTTTGTCCATGCCCAACCTGGAGATTTTATACCTTCCAAATGCTTCCAAAGTTATATATATATTGCCTTCTTCAATATCCTCAATGTTTTTTTAAATTAATTTTTCTCTTTTTCTTATTTATATCTCTGAGGACTTCTAATACCATGCAACTATAAATTGTATCCTTATGTGAGTTTCGACATTCGAAAATTGTAAATTTAACATGCAATGAATCAATAAAAAATTATTATTTTTTCTCCAGTGTTGCTAGACACAAAATACCCCCCCCCCCCCCTCTTTTTTTTTTTTTTTTCTTTTTTCATTTTCAAATCTTTCTTTCTTTATTTATTCCATCCCAAACTTTGCTTCTGTAGGTTTTGCCGCCTTTTTATTTCACACTCAATATATGGTCAAAAACACTCTAATACCACGTCGGCTTAATTTCCATATGTTCTCAGATTTTTGTTGTTTAATTTTTGTCACAAGAATTTTGGTTAGGCTTTATACTCTTATGGGCCTTACTTTCCTCATTGTTTCACTTGGGCTTAAATTTTCACATCCTCTTATTTAGGAACTTTATCTTTATCCACTTAAACATCTCAAGGTTCTTGACTCACCTGAAATTCTATTAAGCAATGTTAGGTATCATGAAATTTTTTTCATGAAAGCTTTATGATCTTTGGATTATATTTAGAATAAAACACCACACACTAATCAAGGTAATCTAAGGATCATAAATTTTTCATGATCATTTTCATGAAAAAATTTTCATGAGCCCTAACTTTTCTCAATTCTATTTCCACTTTAATAACAAACTTTCCATATGATATTGAACTAAACTAGTTATTTTGAATTTTTCATGTTATCATTGTTGAGTGATCACATGAGTTGAAACTAACCCCCTCCAATGTTGCAGCGGCTAACATGGATAGCCTTGAGACATGCTAGTCCACCACGAGCTCCGCAGCCAAAGACCAGCAAAACTAAAAAAAATTCAAATGTCGAGACCTACAAGGATTGGATTAACACTCTCCTGTTGGTGGCAACAATTATTATCACTGTGACCTTTGCGGCTGGTATCACTGTTCCAGGTGGATATGATGACTCTAAAACTCACAAGGGCATGGAACTTATGGTAAAAAAGTCTGCATTTCAAGTATTCGTGATCGCTAATGCTGTAGCTATGTATAGTTCCATTATTGTTGCTGTTTTGCTCATATGGGCACAGTTGGGAGATCTTAATCTCCGTCATGTTTCCTTGAAATTGGCTTCGCCGTTGTTTGGAGGAGCTCTTATGATGCTCGCAATATCATTCATGACAGGTGTTTATCTGGTGGTGAGCAACCTTAATTGGCTTTCTTATGTTATTTTGATCATGGGCTTAACCTTTGTCCTTGCCCTTTCCACGCTGTTGATTCTACTCTTTCTACCAACTTCCTTGAACCATCGCATGCTACGCTACATCTTCTACTATCCATTTTCTCTTTTGCGATTAATCAGCAAAAAGTGGTGTTGATGTCTGGTCTGTCGGTATTGGAAAACTCTCTTTTAATTTTTTCAAACAAGAAAAGTATGTAAAATTATTGTAACAACCACATCATTCCTTTGGGCACTCCATTAGAGGTATGTGGATTTCGTGTTTTTTTTTTTTAACTGATTATGTATTTATTTCGAATATATATGTATTGAAAGTTTATTTGATATACTATGTACATTTTATGCTAGAACTATTTGGAGAATTGTGTTGAGTTCGATTTTGTTCAAACACTCAGCAGACTGTAAACAATACACAATTGTGACTGATAAAAAATAGCACGATATATACATTTGGGTTGGGTCATTACACTTTTTTGGGTATAGAACTTAAGGTAGCGTTTGGTTTAATTTTAGAATTATGATTTGAGAATGGAATTATATTTTGAGTTTATGAGTTGTTGAATCATGATTTGAGAAGAGAAAAATTTGTTTGATTATATGAGTTTTGAATTGAATTTTGAATTGAGATTTGAATTTTTTAAATGAATTTTGAAATAAGAAAAGTTGTTTGGTTGTAAGTTTTGAAAAGAATTTTTAAAATTTAATTCAAAAACTTATAACTCATAACCAAACACATAACTCAAAACTCTATTGAAAATTCTATTCAAAACTCATAACTAAACTCTTTTTAAAATCCAATCTAAAAAAATAATTATGGAAAAAAATAAATTTTTTTCTTTAAAAAATTCAAAAAATTCTGAAAATATTTTTTTATTTAAAATATTAGAAAATATATATTATTTTTTGTTAAAAAAATATTCAGCTAGTGCTTTATAATTATTTTTGATTGTATATTTGTTTGGAATTTTTTTTAAATTTTTTTTGTTTAAAAATGTTTTTTTATTTTTTAAAAATTATTGTGACAAATTAATTTTTATTTAAAATTTTATTTTGTTAATTTTAAATAAAATTTTATTTTGTTAATTTTAAATAAACGGCCAAATAATTTGTCATTTTGGTCTAAAAAATAATAATTTCTATACTTTAAACATATCAAAAACAAATATAAATTTTTTTTTTTTTGAAATAACAGGTGATAATTGTAAAACAAAATTAAAAATAAAAAATAAAAAAGCATTGTTCCAGTCAACCGGTTAAACGTCTAGGAGGATGTCCGGGCGAACGACTGGGTAGACCTAATTTGAAAATTTTAAATTCAAAAAATCACTCTACCAAACATGTTCTGAAGAGAATTTTCAAACGTGGGTGTGAAATCAATTGTTGAAAACTCTATCTAAACACAACACTGAAATAAGAGGGTGGAATTATGATTCCACTCTTAAACCAAACACAGCCTAATATTTTACACCAATCAAAATCTATGTATGATTCACAATTAGTATCGCAACGGAATATGAATTACCTCAAGCCGTGTTGTTGAAGCATTCAATTTTATTGATCAACACTCCCAAAATTATATGATGTATAGGGAGTAGGGTTTCTTATATCCCATGCTTTTAAATCAGTAATCATATAAATTCAGAATTTTATTCAAAGTTATCAATTTATGTTCTATTTTTTTTTTTTTTTCATATATGACACTACACAATATCATTTCACCCTCAACCATACCATCATCATCTGGCCAAAAATCTAATAAATTTTCCTGGATGAGGGGGATTTCTACTATGAATCTCATTCATTCTATCTCTGAAAACAAACGGGACCTTATCGTGCTAACTTCCTTCAAATAATTACCACTAACAAATAACTAGTAGTCAACTTTATCTAAATTACCCCAATTTTGACTGTAAATAAAAATATATAAGTAACATAATTTGGATTGCTGCTATTACCCCATCAATAATTTTGGACCCCTATTCTTCATTTTTTTATTTTATTACAATAATAATTTCAAATGAAATTATTAAAAAATACATCAATAATTTTGGGACATCTCAACTCTCAATTAAGCCCACATATGCATTAGATCATAAGTTAGGGTTTATAAGAGTACTCACCTCTATCACCATCCATTCATCTTCCTCAAATCACACCTTCAAACCTACCCACCCTCAAAACTTTGAAAATCCTTTGGCAGCAATATTTCGGCGGCAACGGTGACAACCATTTGATTACATATACTTCTCCAACAATGGAAATGAGTAAAAAAAAAATTCGGCAACCACAACTCCATAAGACAAAAGGTGTACAACAATAAAAGTTTAAAAGAGATTCATAACTTTGATGGTGTTCTTAATTCAGATGAATTAGCCTTGTGAGAGTAAGTTTCTTAAAAAAATGACAAAAATAATAAAAATTGCTCGTCATTTTTTTGGGACTGAACTCTCGAATGTATGACCGAAATTTCGAGAACACAGGCCCGAACATTGTTTATTTGTTCAGGAATAGGTAACGAAACATTTCTCATTTGTTCAGGAACAAATAACCGAAAGCAGCCAAACAAAGGAGATCAGACCACCCTTGGCCGGTCAACTGGAGAGTGAAATCATGCCAAATTTTGCTCATACAAATAGCATACAAGTATAGTGAGACCATGGATGAATGACAAAAAACAATCAGAGAATCATAAAAGTAGATTGTGTTGTGTATGTAAAAAGAGATAATAGAAAAAGAAAATTAAATAGATTGACAAACCTCATAATGAAGTAGAGAAAAAACTTCTTAATCATACAAATTTTTTTTACTAATTTTGGGAGGTTCCATCGTTGTGGGTTTTGTTAGGGTTTTGAGAAAGAGGCTTTTTGGGGTGTGAGAGTGTGCATTTGAATGGGTAAAATGTTTTTAGAAGGATAATTTTAGTATTATTTGAGAAGAGAAAAAAAATTTAAAAGGTTTTACAATTTATAAATAGGGATCCAAAAAAATGGGAGTTTAAAATAATTAATAAGGTATTAATAGCTGACTCATAATTTAATACCGTTGCTTCCAAAATTTTCCCATCTCGGGGGTTGCAACTTTTCCTTTAATTGATTGCTCAATGTGGATTACATATAATTTTGGATAAATTCTAGTCGTTTTATGTTTGCTCACTTTTTGTATTTTGACTCTTAAAGTTTGTATGTTTTTACTTTGATTCTTTATATTTCAAGTTTATCCCAATTACTCTTAAAATTAATTTATATTCAAAATTAAGCAAAAAATGTCATGATGACTATCACATAATATCAAAAATATTATTATATTAATATTTGAATTTATGTCAAAGATGCGAGTTATATGCAATAAAATATTTTTATCATTGGGCGAACTTTGACATGGGATAAACTAAAATTAAAAAACTTATAGAACATAATGTATTTTTATTTTATCATTAATCTAATTTTTGTAATTTATTCTATGACATTTATATCTTATTAAAAACTTAGAAGATACAATTAATACCATAAATAAATTAAAAGAGTGGTGCTATTAGCATCTCATGAATTATTTTAGAACTCCCATTTTTTTTGGGCCCCCACCTATAAATTTTGAAACCTCAAAATTTCTTTTCTCCCCCCAAATAATACCAAAATTATCCTCACGAAAATATTTCACCCATTGAATACACACTCCTACACCTCCACACCCCAACAAAACCCTCTTCCAAAAAACCCTAACAAAACCCATCAAGAAGAAGAAGAACTAATGTGATTACTGTCTCTGCTGTCTCATCCACCATTGTCATAGTTGATATGCTCTCTCTCTATATATATACATAATTTCTTAGTTTTCTCGTAATAATTTATTCTCTTTCTTGAAAAAAATTAAAATAATTGGTTTGGTTAGTTTTGTTGGTAGATATTATAAAATTGTAAGTTCAGCAGAGAACTATGCAACAATATTATCAAAGTTACGCGATGAAGGAATACTTTTAAACTTGATAATGGATTTGGGTTACTTCTAATAACTTCTACAAGTGTTAAAAATTTTGACCATTCAGTGTGTTAAGAAATTTCCATATTTGGGCCTGTATTCCCTAACTTGAAAAAATAAAATTTTTTGCAAGCATTAACAATTTTGACTGTTCAATATGTTAGGAAATTTTCATGTTCGGACCTGCATTCTCGAACATTACTTATTTGTTCGGGAATGCCTTCCCGAACAAATAAGTAATGTTTGGGACTGTATTCCCGAACTTGAAAAAATGAAAACTTCTCTAAGTGTTAACAATGTTTATAGCGTTTTCGGTTTAGACACGACCCATTTTGTGTTTTAGACTTGGATGTCGTAGCCTTGTATGGTTGTTCATGTTTTTCCTCTCTTGCTCCCTCTTGAATATTGGTTTTTGGATTGTAGTTGTGTGTTTGGAATAGGTTGGTTACTTGGTTTTCCAAACCTTTGTTGTCCAAATTTTTGCTTCTCCACTCGAGCGGCCATTCTTGCGCTCGAGCGGGATTTGCAAACTCTCAGTATTTTTGCAGACTTGCAAATACTGGAAGAGTGTATTCTGCACTCGAGCGTTATTTCCTACACTTGAGCAGAACAATGTGTCTGAAGCTCGAGCATCACTTTTCACGTTCTAACGGACTGCGTGTATAACAGATCATGAAAATGACATTCTTCATCACTTTTTCATTTCTTTCTCTCTCTAAAACTCTCCAAAACCCTAGATCTTGAGTTTTTCTCTCTAAAATTCATCTTCTCTCTACTATTTCACCTAGATCCATTAGGATCTTCACCCTAGTACCTTTGAGAAAAAGGTAGAGCATCTCAAGATCTTCATTTTGATCCGAACAAAGTTGGGTTTGGGCATCTTTGGAGTTTCATCCTTGCCTTTCTCATCTTCTCTATTTGAGGTAGGGATTTCTTACACTTTCATATGGTTTTTAGCTTAGTTATTTGTAGTTATGTAACAATGGTGGAACTTGGAAGTAGCTTGAACAAATCTAGGGTTTGGGTGTGAAGTAAAAAGAGGGGTTTTGAGTAAATGTGAAATAAATTATTTATGGGGTTCGATTGTGAGGTTCTACGGTGGCAAAATAGTTAATTCTGGCACTTGGGTCGATATATGGAAGAGGGAGTTTTGCCCTAAATGGGTCAAATTGTTATTTTGTGCAAATAACTAAAATTGATAATGATAACGTGTAATTGGATGATTGTTGATGTAAATGGTAGAATTGGACACGTGTTGTCTCTCACCTATGGAAATTTGAATAATTTATCTATTAAGAAGATT